TTTCAGGTAAGACTATACTTTCCATCCCTAATGTTTTGTTTAGCAGTAATCGCTAAAGCCACCAGAATAGAGACCAGCCCCCTGCCGCCAAGACTGTATGTATGAAGAACTTATCAGTGATCCAAGGACAGCTTGGAAGACCACTGAATGAGAAGGCAGGAAGAGCAAGGGAGAAAGAGCAATCAGGAGGGGTGTGTGTGTGTGTGTGTGTGTGTGTGTAGGAGAGAGGAGGAAACAGAGACAGACAGACAGACAGAGACAGGTAGAAAGAGAAGAGACTGTCACTGAACTCCAGGAAGGTGACTTGGAGAAGAAGGAGGAGGGAAACAGTACAGAAGGTCAAACTGCATGAATAACTTGAAGACCTGAAAACATGAATAACACTGAAGACCAGCCTTCTGTGGTACAATAAAATGTTCTTGATAAAGGGCAAACTTTATCCTCTTTTGCTGAGGTTAGACATCTTTCAAAAAGAATTGAAAGATTTTGTTTTTGCAAGAAACTTAATCTGCATAAACTATGTTTGATATTCTTTTTTAAAGCATTCAATTTCCTAATGGCAAAAATTTGGAACTGCATCATACCTGAAAAACTGATTTTTTAATAATAAATTTGGTCATAGTCATCTAAATTTCACCTCTAATTGTGATAAATTGTAAAAGAATGCATTAACGGATTTATTTCTCATGTTTTCTTCTGGAATGACAGAAGCAAAGCGAACATTTTTAATCAGTTCAACTTTCCTACCAAAGAACAATACAATCTGGTTAACTTTCATATCCATCAGGGGCACAGGGCTTTTCGGACGTAGGTAGAGGTTTATGAGCATAAAATTGAGAACAATTAGCACTCAAATTAATGTTACATGAGATTCAACATCTGGTAAGTATGTCGTCATTTTGGGTCATAGACCACCTGCTAGGCTAAATGTTCATACAACTGCAATTTACTCTGCATACAAATAGAATAAGAATGATACTTTAAAAAAAAATTTTTTTTTTCTAAATTTAACAGTTTGAATGTAGGGGCCTCTCATGTCTTAAAACTTCAACTAAAAGTTCATAATAGATGGAACACATGAGATAAAACAGAGGATTGAAAGGAACAGAAGATACTTTTATTTTTGCAAGCATATTTTATGATAAATTAGCTATATTGCTAACATTAGTTTCACTAGTCAATCTAATCACTGCCACTATCAGTGCCATTCTCCTCTTTATCCACCAAATATTTAAGAGCAAGTAGAGGTCAACCTTTCAAACTCCCCATTTATTTATGTAATTGAGCCCTCAAACATCTGGCTGCTTCTGGCAATAGAGCTGCACCAGAAAATGACAAATCTCAAGATGCCTCTTGCAAGCCTACTGCCAACACCAGCCCATGCACAGCATACCCTAATCACTTCTGAACTTTGGTATTCTGGAGCCTCCTATCATTTCTGTCAATGTAGGCCTTAAAGCTTTAAAGGTGTCCTGCCAGGAACCCCCTCTGAGCTGGAAGCAGGTGCTGACAGGAAGTTTCAGCCCTGGGATCCAGAAGCTTCTATGTCTAGATATACTCTGGGTTTGTGTGGAGGTCAGAGCAGACATAAAGCCTATCCACACCTATTCAGGGGGCCTCTTGCCCTCCAAAGGTACCCAAGACGCCAAGGACGTCTCCATGGAACAGCCCCCAACATCATCCCCAGCATGGCCTGAAGGCCTCAGGCCTTGTAAGTCAGGGAGCAAAACCAAGTTAAAGAGCAAACTGTAGCCAAAGATCACATACCTTCTGGCCTTGATCTCCAGAGTATGCTAATTGCTGAAAATGCTGACAGTTTATAAATTTAGGCATCTTATAGAATGCTAAATGATGACCACAATCGAAATAAACGTGAGGGACACCGAGGTGGCTCAGCTGGTTAAGCATCCAACTTCAGCTCAGGTCATGATCTCATGGTTAGTGAGTTCAAGCCCCGCATCAGGCTCTGTGCTGACAGCTGGGAGCCTGGAGCCTGCTTCAGATTCTGTGTCTCCCTCTCTGTTCCTCTCCCACTTTTGCTCTGTCTCTCTCTGTCTCCCAAAAGTAAATAAGTGTTAAAAAAATTTTTTTTTAAATATGATGATCATATATCAGAAGGGTGAGTTAGTGTCCTTTTTGTTTTTACTTAGTTGCCTTTCTACATGATCAGGTTCTTGGCCACTTCAGCCAAACTGGTGAACTCTTCCCTTACTATATACAACTAGACAGTATTAGGCTGGAAGCAGAAGATGTGCCTGTGGTTATCTACAGAAGATTTCAAAAGCAAGGAAACTTCCTGCACCTTTGAAGTTTAAATGCAAAAATCACAATTTTCACCTTGCTTAGAGAAACGAGACAGTCTTTAAAAAAGAAGCAGTTTGTGATTCAAGCACCAACTAAAGAGCCGTGTTAAATCTGCGTGTTAAAGCACCTAAAAGTTACTCTATTAGTTCTGAGAACTCTGTGCTTGCTGTGTACTTTTCTAGATAGAGTAGGAAATGTCCTATCTAGAATCATGTCTATTAAAACCATCTATTTATTGGCATTGCCGTGCTTCTGTAACACGCTTCCCATTGATTCTTAGAATAATGATTATTGTCATGGCTCAGTTGTCATGGGGATAGTTTTAAGAGTCAAGTTTTGATGTCCAGCTGCCTGACTTTCAATTCTGGTGGCTCCATTTGCTCCCTGTGTGATCCTAGGCAAGTTTGCAAACTCTTCTTGAAGCTTTGGTTTTGCCGTCTGCAAGGTGAGCATCATAATAGGCCCACCTACATAGTTGTTGAGTGAAAAGGATAATCCTGGAAAAGTGTATAGCACAGAAGTGCCAGATAAATATTGGCTCTCAATAACATCAAGGGATTACCTGATCTTGAGTCACCAAAGAAAGACTAAAGCATGTCTAATATATTTTGTTCTGTGTTTGTGTTTAAAAGATATTTTGTGATATTTTGGTTTTTTCAATAAGCATACATGTTAACTCTCTGTTTGACAGCCATGCTTTATTTGATTAACCAAAATGTGTCAAAGAGCTTTGAAAAATTGTTGGTCTGTGGAAGGGTTTAAGGTGACTATTGCATGTAGGGTGTAGAACGGGTTACGGTCACGCGGGTGGGTAGTTGGTGTTCCAGGCTCCAAACAGAACAGCCCTACTTTTATCAACTTTAAATATTGGGGTCCTCAAAGGATACAGGAGTTCTGATTCACAGGGGCACATATACCCCAATGTTTATACAAATGTTTCAACAAAGCCAAATTATGGAAAGAGCCTAAATGTCCATCAACCGATGAATGGATAAAGATGTGGTTTAAATACACAATGGAATACTACTTGCCAATGAGAAAGAATGAAATCCTGCCATTTGCAGCAACGTGGATGGAACTGGAGAGTATTATGCAAAGTGAAGTCAGTCAGAGAAAGATAGATATCATATGTTTTCACTCATGTGTGAAACTTGAGAAACTTAACAGAAGACCATGGGGGAAGGGAAGAGGAAAAAAAATAGTTACAGAGAGGGAGGGAGGCAAACCATAAGAGACTCTTAAATACAGAGAACAAACTGAGGGTTGATGGGGGGGAGGGTAGAGAAGAAGAGGGGTGATGGGCATTGAAGAGGGCACTTGTTGGGATGAGCGCTGGGTGTTGTAGGTAAGTGATGAATCATGGGAATCTACTCCCCAAACCAAGAGCACACTTTACACGCTGTATGTTAGCCAACTTGACAATAAATTATATTCAAAACATATATGTATACTGGGCTTCTCAGTAAATTTTAGTTTGAACAAAGGGTTCTGCAGCTAAAAATAGGAATGGAGTATGCCAGAGAGGGTGGATAAAAACATTCATGGTTTCTGTATCTATTATTTTTTAAAGGCATATTACAGATAAATAATGAAGGCTGTATTTGAATCATTACCATTTCAGTTCTGATTCTACATTAAAAACTGACCTTTAACCAAATCATAACTGAAGGATATTTGAAATTGCATCATTTTCCCTTTCTGGCAGTGTTAAGTCAGGAGAGCTCATTAAACCCTCTGTTCATCATCCTTCATTTGTGAAGTCTATTACAATTAACCAAAGCGTTATCACTCAGAATGGAAATGATTTAAGTGAATCTGGCCACCAAAACCCCATAGTTGACATTTGTCCGTATCTCAAAAGTAATCTAGAGCCAAGCAAGCCTAAAGCAGAGTGCAGGGGTTAGGTCCACAGTCTCTGCAGTCAGACTGCCAAGGATGAATCCCGCTTTGTCCACTTACAGGCTGTGTTCTTGTGTAAGTCACATCCTATCTGTGTCCCTCAACTTTCTGTTCACAAAATGGGGACAATAGCACCAATTTTGTAAAGCTATCATGAGGATTTAAAAAGAAAATGTGCACAAAGTACTTAGAACAAGGGAAGGTAGAAAATAAGTACTCAGTAAATATTAGTTCTCATGGTCATTAAGTATATGAGTTTGTTTTGCAACCATTTTCATGACACTTGAATTATTTCCAAGTCTAATTACAAAAATCAGCATATTTGTCATTTCAAATTTTCTTCAACTACAGAAGGGATGGTAACTAAATTAATTAGTCTTATATTTTAATTCGCACTTGGCAATTTTTCTCTTTCCTTTCATATAACGTTATTTCTTTAAATCTTAAACTATGAACAGAAAAATCAAATTCTCTTGAAAAAAAGCACACAGAAAAATATTAAGCCTGCAAGCTTGTCCTGAACTTTCTATTATCTTGAATGGAAGGAGATCCATGTAATCTAACCATATTTTACTACTATGCTCTGTGTATGTTTATATTTTTTAAAAAGCATAAATAATGAAATACATACCATAATAAAATGTTGATATATCATGCATTTGACATTTTGATGCATATACTTCTTCTGTGCCTCTAATATTTGTATTTATAATGCCTTCCACGTACAATTCCTGAAATTTAGGGGGAAAATACCCTTTGATATCAAAGCCTTTAATTCATTTCCTATTGTATTTCAGATCTTCAAGGAGTCCACATGTTGCCTCAGACAGCTGACTGGTCATCTTTTCCTGCCCAACAATACCTCTTGACTCTTGGGTTCAAAAACAAAGAAGATGGAAAATTTTTGGAAAAACTATCAAGTAGGAAGCTGCCTACATTTACAGGTAAATCACATGGACTTATTATTATCCTTCAGTGCGGTTCTAAGGCAGGAACTGTGCATTCTTCAGCAAATCTTATTCATCACAAGGCCTAGCATATAGTAGTGCTAGACCCCAAAAAATGTTTGTTGGGTAATTATTAACTCCTTCCAGTCTTCTTTGTGGATTAGTTAACAATACCTGGGATTCAGACTCCCCCAAGACCAATGCAATTCTAGAGTGCCTGCCTCCCTCACTCCAACCATCTCACCCCCATAGCACTAAACATAAAGTGCCTAAACATAAAGCACTTAAAGAATACAAGTTTTTGTTCTTATCAGTTAGCAAATGTAGAAGGAAATTATCCGACAAACGTATTATGCAAAATAAAAAATATAGCCAATGACAACTTTAAATCACTTGGATTATCTGCTTTTGTACTGATATTTGTTCCATTCTCATGTAATTAACCGAGAGCTTAGATCTCCTGAAGAGTATTACAGTTAAATGGTATTCAGTAATTCTAGTTGAAACTTTCAAAAATGAAGAAAATATTCACATGGAGTCGAAGTCTCAGATTTGTGGGCAGAATTCATGACCAGGTTAAATTTATTCCTTCAGCTCTACCCACATAATTAAGGATTTGTGTTTTATCTGGCACTCTATCCTCCGAGGTTTATCTCAACTTCAAGCCACATTCAAAGTCAATGGGATCTGCACACTTGAATAATACCTGGGAGGAACAAGACAAGAATCAGACACATTTATGACAACATTTTTTCACAAGTCAGGAAAAACACTCTGCAGAGAGAGATGAATTGTTATAGGCTGTCTCTTAGATCTCTCAATCAGGAAACACAACAAAATGAATAAATGATAGTCTCGAAAGGGCAATGTCTCCTCTGCCTTTCTCCTCATAGATCTTTCATTGTTATGCATGTGGTCTAGGGATGGTACTAGTTTCTACACTAAAGATTTCATATCTATTAACGTTGAGATATCTGTATATAGCTTGCTAAAGAAAGCATTTTTGAAATGAAAGTCTGGAAAAATAGTATAAAAGTTTACTGTTACAATTTTTAGAACATAAAACTCCCTTCGGTCTGCTGACCAAAGAAGACACAGTGAGGCACATGGAGACAATGGGGAAGCGGATCTTGCCAATACTGGATTTTATTAGAAGCACCCAATTGAATGTAGGTATATGAGTGTCTTATATTTGTCCAAAGCACAAATTTTAGACAATTCCAAAAGTATGGAAAGTTTATGGGGCAAATATTGCAAATATTGGAAGATTTCAGAAGCATTCATGGTAAATCTCATCTGCAAAACCAAGCAAAGTTTAGCTGATGATTTGGGTTGTTTTAATATATTTTAAAACAAAAACCGCACTGAGATACCACCTCACGCCAGTCAGAGTGGCTAAAATGAACAAATCAGGAGACTATAGATGCTGGAGAGAATGTAGAGAAACAGGAACTCTCGTGCACTTTGGTGGGAATGCAAACTGGTGCATCCGCTCTGGAAAACAGTGTGGAGGTTCCTCAAAAAATTAAATAGACCTACCCTATACCCAGCAGTAGCACTGCTAGGAATTTACCCAAGGGATACAGGAGTGCTGATGCATAGGGGCACTTGTACCCCAATGTTTACAACAGCACTTTCAACAATAGCCAAATTATGGAAAGAGCCTAAATGCCCATCAACTGATGAATAAAGAAATTGTGGTTTATATACACAATGGAATACTACATGGCAATGAGAAAGAATGAAATATGGCCTTTTGTAGCAACGTGGATGGAACTGGAGAGTGTTATGCTAAGTGAAATAAGTCATACGGAGAAAGACAGATACCATATGTTTTCACTCTTATGTGGATCCTGAGAAACTTAACAGAAGACCATGGGGGAGGGGAAGAAAACAAAGAACAGTTAGAGAGGGAGGGAGCCAAACCACAAGAGACTCTTAAAAACTGA